TTTCACAGAGTGCCTGTTAGGTGCCAAAATGGTATTAGATGTAATACAGGCCAGGGAGGGCTCTATGTTAATATGCCTTGGGGAGAAAAAGAGAGAAGGAGGGGGAGGAATCGCTTCTGTACATTTACTATTTTACATTATGTAGGTCAGGTTCCTTGGGAAAGAGAAGCTGTGTTTCTGAGCTCCACTCGCAGAGCATTCATTGAGGAGCTCTCAGAACGTCTGTAGGAGGGAGAGGCGAGGGAGGCAGTGGGACTGAGCATCAGCAAAAGACGCAGTGCAGCTGCACGGAGCAGAGGCCCTTGGAGCTCCGGAGCTGGGCCGGCCCTTGGAGCTGCTCTGGGGCCAGTCAGGGGATACAGTTACCCCAGGGAGGACCCCACGCCATGTCTCGGCAGCTCCCTTCTGCTGAGGGTGAGTCTGGGGTAGTTCAGCTATGAGTCATCGGCTGTCAGCGTTCCTCCCCGGGCTAGGGAGTGCTTACCTCAATGCTGGAGGAGAGGTGGGGCCTCTGCCGGCCATGCCACAGTACCCGCAACATGGGAGGAAACAGGCACAGAGAAGTCAGGCAACTCACCTGAGATCACACAGCAGGCAAACGGCAGAGTCAGCACTCATGTCCAGGCAGTCTGGCTCCAGAAGCTGACCTTCAATCACTAATGTCTATGCTATGTGAAAAGAGTCTACCAAAGTGCTGTCATGGTTGCTCAGATAAATGACAGCTACTTCGTTTGGGGCACTGCTGATGACTGTTCCTCTCTATCAGCCCTCAGCCTTTTATCTGAGAGCTAACAGCATGGCCTTAAGCATTTGTGTGGAGTAGGCAGGTGAGTGTACGTCTGACCCTGTTGAACGCTAGAGCCCCACAGATTTACATATTAACCCGATGGCAGGACTCCAAGGCTGGCCCCAGGTGTTGAGGTGGGTGCTATAACGAATGAGGCCCAGCTCCTCATTATTCACGGGCTGGAGTTGTACCAATAGTGGGTCCTCAAGGGTCTCTGCACCCGGGCCCTGCTCTGCTGGCCCCGAGGACCTGTGGGCGGAGGCTGCTGTCGTCATCGTGGCAGCGTGAGGGTCAGGAGGCCAGGGCTGCCTGAGGCTGGGACAGATTTATGCAGAGAGGATGGAAAGGCTGTGCCTCTGCTGGTTAGGGGAGGTGGGGGAATGGGGAGGAGGTCCCCAGACCACCCCCCCAAAAGAGATCCCACTTATGTGGCACCTCTAACAGTGTTTCAGAAGCAAGTCTATGTTTAAGAGGAAAGCCCAGCAAACTTTATGAACTCTGCAGCCAAACTGAGCTGAGAGTCCCCTCCATCCCCCAGCCCCCATCTTGCATTCCTTGGCGTTGGGGACAGTCCCTGGATGAGAGTGGGGTGGATGGAGAAGCGGGGACACAACATTTGTGGAAGACCCAGGCTCTGGAAGCCTGAGCTGTCGTGAGCACCCCAAGGACGCCCACAGCGCTGCCCTGTCTCAGGCCCAGCACTCGCCACCCTCCGCTTGAGCTTGCAACTCTCCCTCCGGACTGCGCCCAGGCAGAGGGCAGCCCCTGGGCAGCTGCAGCAGGCAAGCTGGGGTCCTCCTCCAGCTGGAGGCTGGTGCCTGCAGCCTGTAGAGGGAGACGCTTGCGCCATGAGACGGGTGGGTGACCCTTGTCTGGCTCATGATCCACCACCCATGGTGCTCAGTGAGGGGGCTAATGTCCCACTAACCATCCTCCTCTCTGCACTACCTTTAAATACAGATGAGGTGACTAGGAGCTCGCCCTGCCCTCCCATCTTCTCTTTCCATTCTCCACTGCTGACACATTTTCTGAGGCTTCCCACATATCAGGCCATTTATCCCGCCTGGGCACTCTGGGGTGATGCACTGTTTTTATTTCTATATCACAGATTTGGAAATGGAAGACACAAAGAAATACCTAGCCCAGGGTCACAGAGCCAGTAGGTGGTGAGCTAAGGTACCATCCAGAGGGCACATGACTCTAGAGCATCTGCATGTAACCACTAGGCGACACGGCCTCCCCCTGCCAGCAGGGAATTGGCTGCCTCTCCTCTGGAGTGAGTTCAGGCCCTCATTGTGCAGAGTCACTTCTCCCTCTCCTTCCTTTACTCTCCTTGGGCACTAGGCTGGCATTGGTCTCTGTGACCAATTCTCAGTGGTACACCCCACCCCAACTCACCCCCCTGCCACCAACCCTCTGTCTCCCCTTGGAATCCCCTGGGACAGCTTCAGGAGGAAATAGGACACACTGAGAATGCTGACTTGCAAGCAGGTGGACTTTGGCTTTTAAAAGGGGCCATAACTGATATTCAGCCACCTAGACATTAAAACTGTTTAAAGGGCAGGGGTGTCAATTTCTTCGAAAGCAGAATGGGGTACTGACTTCAACAAGCTAACATAAAATAAATTTAGGAATGTTATAGCAAGTTATGGGGCCTCTATGACTTTATAAACACAACCACTAATTGTTAACGCTAATTAATCTTTTGGAAACAACCATTAGGCCACAAGACCTCAAGAGATAGAAATTGTAAGGCCCAATATTTCACCTGAACTAACATACTGGAAATCTGTCCTTTAATTGAGCCTCTGAAACACATTCAATCCATCTTCATCAACGGGAAAACAGCATTAAGTTACACTTTCAAGATGATACCTAATAGTCTGCAGAAAGGCAACAGCCACAGGTAAGTCCCTCTCTGCTTATTTCAAGGAACAGAAAAGACTATGCTGCTCAGGAATACAGAAAAAGCTGGGGACAAGTCCAGTCAACACACCAAGTCACCCTGTTTTCATTATGGAGGTGCTCTGTGCCAGACACGGTAGCAAGTACAATATAGGATCTGAGAACATTAGGGCTGGCAAGGTCCTAGGACACAAAACTCCTGTTTTGGAGCCATTTCCAATTGACTAGAATGTTAAGACTTACATGTGGCTGGAAATTAGAAAACAATACTGTACATAACTAAGCAGAGACCAAGATAAGCTGTAAAAACTCAGGGAAAGGAGAAACATATCTTGGCTGGAATTGCTCAGCAGAGGTTTTAAGAACAATGAGAGATTGGGGGTGGTCTTGTAAGGGAGCAAAGTGGTGGAGAGGCAGGAGGACTTTCATTCAAGAATAGTGTGAATACGGCAAGAGCAGTGACAGCAAGAAGCCTGGGGACCAATCCTAGAAAAAGCACAGGCCTTCCTTGAGAGAGACCAGCCTTTTGGGGGGTGCTGGTGGTGGGGCAGGAGACCTGAAGCCTGGGTAAGCAGGTGTGCACTAAGTCAGGAGCTTGGAATTGGGCCCACAGGCTAGGCGGGAGCCACCGTAGCGTCTTGAGTAGCAGATCATACTTCTCAAGCAGGCGAATGATGTTTAAAACCAAACCAAAGCAAAACCTGAGAAGGGAAGGAGGGATGAACCCACTAAAAGGAAAACATAGGATTTGGGGGCTGATTAGGCAGGGAAGCAACAGGGGATTCACATCAGGAGATAATAATATCTTTGACAAGGTAAGTGGGGTTTTTTCTATACCTGCAAGTATCAGGGACCTGTGGTTTGTAACTGAGCTAGAATTAAGCTAGGGAGCCGGTTTGTGGGAATAGGTGGTAGATCTGTTCTTAGCCAAGCCTTGTGTGAGGTGGGACATCCATACTGGAGTTCGGATTCGATTTGACCATCAGTTCTGACTTGGACACCCCTCCCTGTCAATTGACCCTTTTTAACATAAAGCCAATAGGTAGACAAAGCTGAGGTTCTGATGTATTATTCAGGTTACACAAAAGCATTTGTTGTTATTGATTTCTGTTTGTTCAAAAAATTTTATGATTGAAACAAGTAGTCACCTTGATATCTTCAAGCACACTACAGCTGGGCTCAGGGCTCATGTCTTTTTAGACCAAAACCAAAGGCCAGCAAGTGACCAGGGAGGGGGAAACAGAACCCCCAGGCCTCTCTGACTTGAACTCTCCAGACTTCTCCTCCACATTCCAGAGGTGTCACTGTCTCTGAACGTTCATAACCTCTGCTTAAGATTATGATTCTAAAAGGTTGGAATATTTTGTCTGATTTCTGAAATCAGATGTTTATATGGCATCATACATTTTAGTTAAAAATCTCAAACATTACCAGCATCCTCCCAAAGTGCATCATTTTTAACTTTTAACTCTAAAAATATTTTTACCTACTTCCAAAACATTTTAAAAAGTCTATTTTTCTCTCATTCATTTATTAGAATGTGTTTAGTCCTGCTACAAAGAAGGGATCAAGTCATGTGATTGGTTTGTAAATAGTTGAAAATGTGTATTTGCCATTTGGTTGGGTGATTTGTCCTTTAAGATGGAGCCTGAGCCTATTAAGAATTGAGGTGGGATCTGAACACGGCAAATGTGCTCGCCTCTCTTGTATGGATCTGTCAGCCCGTGTGTGCTATGAAATCACGTTACTCCTCACTGGGAATCGTACTTCCCACGCAACACACACTATTCTACCTCTCCTTCCAGACTTCCCCAGCAATAGTTCAAAATCCCTCCTGCATTTACACTCAGTCCCATATGAAACCAATGATTCAGTCCCCAGTTGAGCTCATCTGAGAAGAATTCCAAGAGAAGGCTATTTTCAAAAGAGCTTTTAACAATTAGCCGACACAAAATATAGCTACAGATAACTTCCAATTTGGGCTTCTCGGAGCAAACTGTCCAGCCAAAGAGAAAGCGAAAACTCACAAAGAAGGAAGAATGGAAACTTTATATTTAATGAAATTCAAAGGTGGTATGTATAGAAGCACCAATATTATAGACAAATAGATCAGTTCCTGGTATAGCCAGATGAACTTACCATATTAATAAATGTCAAGTACTTCCATGGTCCGCCATTAAGAAAGATTTCAGAGTTCTGCGGATCCTCTCCTAGTACAGGGATGTCATAATTGAGGAAAATATACCAGCTCATAACAAGGAAGTGGTATATGCATGTAGAACTCCCTGTCATGGCTCACGCTGGCCAGGGAACTGTGAACGTCGCAAGGAACTTTCCTCTGGTGTCACAGCTGAAGTCCTATGGCAGACAGGAAAGCTGCAAAACACCCCTCTGGGACTGAGAGTTCCAATAGGGCTGAATGTTGCCTCTCTCATAGGCTCTCTTCCTGATAAACTTGGGAAACAGGATTATTACAAGTTTTCAGATGCCTTCAGATAAGAGCAGGTAACCCACAGATTTGCATAAGTGTTAACCTTTAGGCTTTGAAGAGGGCAGAGAGCCATGTGAATGCTGCACTTTGCACTGTGTGGCTGGGGTGGTGGCATGGTTAAGTGACTTATTATACCAATAAACTCTAATGGAATATCAATAACTCCAGTGAAATACCTTCATGGCCGTGTTCTCCTTTCTTTCCTTCTCACTGGGGCAGAGCAAGGAAGTTGCAATAATATCTCTTGAAAGAATGAAGAGCAGGTTGAAAAATCAGGAAGAAGGGATTGTGAGCATGTTTAGGGCACAAACGGAGGTAAGTAGAAAGAGAAAGGGTGATGTAATCTTTCTCTATCCAGAGCTGTCTCAGACACTCCGTTTTCATAAGTTTCTGTGCCCTGGAGGGAAGAAGCACAGCAAAAGGTCTGCGGTCAGGGAAGCACAGGAAGACAGATGCGGCCATGACCCCAACATACCTACGTGTAGACATTGCTGGGACAGAGTGAGGGTCTCTGCATTGCCTTGGAGAGGACAAGAATGTGCTTAAGCTGCGCAGTTTACCCAACTCGGGCCCACCTCACACTTAACAGAAGGGACCTGAGAGAAAGCTGGAAGTGTGATACCCTGTGACTTCACCAGCTTGTTTCCCTAGGCACCCCCAGAGGGTTCTGAGCAAGTCCCAAGGGAAGTGCTCCCGACTTACAGCTACATAAGTCTGTAAGTGGTGCTACTGGAAGATTTAGCCTGGGCAGACAAGTACTGGAAGAAGTAACTGCAGGCTGCACATGGAGAACAAAACTAAACCAACCCACCTCCTGAGAGTCATCCACCCAAGCTTCAGGATTGAAAGTGAGAGAGTGCAAACCTGAGCTAGCAGTAGAGGGTCTGCACTGTAACCATTCCCAGGGGAGTGAATGACCTGGGAAATGGGCGCCTAACACTGTACAAATTCCATGGCTTAGGTTAAAATTGCAAATAACAATAGCAGCTAAGGCTTTTAGAGTCCTCACTATGTGACAGGTGTTGTTCCAAATGCTTTACATGTATTAGTTCATTCTACACTCTTAAAACACCACTATGGATTAAGTACCATTATGATCCTCATTTTCAGATGAAGAACGTGAACCTTGGGCTGCTAAAAGGTGCACTTAAAAGTGAACAAGACGCAGAGCTGCCATCTGCACTCTAACCAGTGTGCCTGACCACAAAGAAACAATGTTCACTCTTCACACCTGCAGACTTTCTTTGCAGTATTTCTCCACTCCCTGCTGAGCCCCCTTGATTCCTCTATCTCTCCCCTCAGAAAATTTCCCTCAGAAAAGCATCAGCCATGCTTTGAATTTGGTGCACTTATGCGTTATTGTGCTATGTCTCCTGGAGTGTTTCATAGTAAACATCACTATAGATTTAAGGGTTTATCCCCTTATACAAAACTTGCGAGCATTAGTTTGCAGATGAGTAAGGATTTGAGCAAAAGTGGAAAACAGAAGGAAGATAAAAATTGAAATCTCTGAAATGTGTGTGTCCAAATCTAGAGACTGGCTTTTTAACACTTGGATTTTCTCCCTGCATTAGCCTCAGTGCCCACAGATAAAGCCTTTCATAAATATTGGTACAATCATTTAAATATATTTGTGAATTTTAATGTTTAATAATCCAATTGTTAGCATTTTAATGAATGATACATGTAACATAAATATGTGAAGTTTTGCATATAGAAAATATGTAATTTCTGAATTCAATATCTTTTCTTGTAATATTTTCCACAAAGGTATTACCTGAAGGAAATTCTACATTTTGACCATATTCACATGATAATTTGTATCTCTAGTTGATAAAGAGACACATTTTCATGAAGCATTTTGGCCATGTGTCTCCTGCTCTAAGACCAGGTGGAGATTTGGGGAACAAATGACAGTGTCACCATTTAGCTACACAATATTACAAACTAATACACACTAAGTCTGCTAGTAACCTGCCTGTCTGCACTCTCCAAGTATCTGGAGACCTCTTGGAAGATACAGGAGAAGTAGGAGAGATTTGTTCACTGACTTAAAAAATAATTTATAGAAATTTAAATTTTTTACTTAGGAAATGCTAAAAATGTAAAATAAACTTATTTTGCACTTTGAATTGAATAATATACAGAGAACTTGATTATTTAAAGTGACATTGAAATTCTTTATCCTCTGGGAGTTTGGAATACCAGTCTTTAATGTCACAAGCCCTTATTGAGTAATTATTAATTGCCAGGTGCTTTCTAGAAATAAGAGAGATTCAATCCTTCATGGAGCCTATATTCTGGCAAAGGAGACAGACATTAAACAATACTACAAACATGTGTTAACTTATAATTAGGTGGCTTCATGAAGGCAAACACAGGGGACTTATTAGAGGGGATAAGAGAACTGGACCTGGGGTGGTCAGGAGGTCAGGAAAGCTGACCCTGAGGAAGCTATGTGTGAGCTCCCAACACTTTCAAAATGTGGTAACTCTCCTTTTAAGTGTCTTTTATGAGCTCCTCTTTCTCTGGCAGAGCCCTGAGTATTGGTGTTTCCCAGGGAGCTGGCCCAGCCCTCTGCCCATCTCACTCTGTGTTCTCACCCTGGCTGTTCTGCCTACCATCACGGTTTCCACAACTGCTTTCTAGTTTATGAACACAAATTATATACATCAGGCCCCAACCCACTCCTCATCCTCTTCAAAGCTTTAAACATATCTTTGATTACTTTTTGCACATTTTCCCACTGAGTCAGATGCACCTCAAACTCAAGATATCTAAAACGATCTCATAACTTTTTGCCCAGATCTGACCTGTAATCTCTTTTCTCTGTCTTGTGAGGAGGGCCCCACCATCCGCCTGAGAGTTTTCCTTATCTTCTCTCTCTCCCTTCCAAATCCAAGTAATCACCAAGTGCTGATACATATATCTACTAAATCAAGCTCAAGTCAGTCCTTTTCTTTCCTTCCCTTCTATGACTGCCCTAATTCAAATCCTCTTCATCTCCATCCAATGCTATGGCAACTATCTTCTAACTGGTTTTCCTGATTCTAGTCCTATCCCCCACCTCTGTTCTACTCAAGGTCAGGGAATGATTCTATCTAAAATACCAGCTGTACCATATCCCCAACCCCAGCTTAAGTCCCTTTACTGTGTCACTAACATCTAAAGGACAACATCCAAGCTCCATCACTTTTAATAAACTGTCCATTCCTAGGTGGCTTTGGTACTCTCTCCTGTCTCATCTTTTGTCTCATACCTGATTGGCAGTTTTCCAACCATACCTGGCTCTGTCATGTCCCAGTGCCTTTACTTTTACTGTCTCATGGCGGTGAGATGGAAATAGGGATGGGAGATCAGAATTTCTGAGGTGATGGTGAGAGAGCTGAGGGAGTGTGGTTGCATTATGGCACAAGGGAGAGGCCCTTCCAGCTGATGGTGTCAAACAAGCAACTAACTGAAAAATCTCAATCATGTTAACCTTCAAGACATGTAGGTAGGATTTCTCTGTAATCCTCTTTCCCTCTTAACCTTCACAGAGCCATTTTGAGGTGGCTTATTCCCTTTAAAGCACATACATACCTCCACAGGTACATTTTGGTGCCCCTGGAGCCCTTATAGGCTCCCTTAACTGTGCCCATCCTATGGCAAATAGTCCCATTAATAAATTCCCACCTGAGTGGGCTAACTTTTCCTGATGGAACCATAACTGTAGTTCCATACAGCCAATCAGACTGTGAGATCCCCTAGAAGTGTCTGATATACATCTAGACCCTCAGCACTATTCGTGGTAGCAGGTAGATTCTAGATGCTAATAAGGTGTGTTTGCATGGATTGGTATTGCAGCAGTTCTGGTATTATGGTATTCTTAATATCTCCTTGGGGGTTCTCTACACCTTGGATTTACAGATCATTACCACCTTCATCACCCAGTGCTATTTGTATTTTCTTATGAACTTGGCTGCCTCTGAACCAATATCACCCACACTGTCTTCTAAAAGAGCTCTCCCCAGTGAAAAGTAGGTGATTATGGAAATAATTAAATGTGTGTGTGATGCCCAGTTGAAGCCAAGTGAGAGGAGTCTACGATCTTCCTTTCAATGAACTTTGCATCCCTAGAAGCCCTTGTTCATTTGCTGTACATGAAGCTAAGAATTGAGTTAGAATAAAGTGTTTCACACATTCTTAAAAACTAGGACATTCCTTAAAGACTCCCTTCTGAAGTCTCTTTTGGTGCGAACATGTGTGCGATTTTGGCCACCAAACCCAGCCAACTCGAGCCTATGAAAACTTTCCTGTCCCACTACTGTGCCTGTGGCATTGAGAAACCTGATTCAGATTTGCCTTACTCTTCAATCTTCAGTTTTGCTTGCACAGTGGAATGCAGTGTTCTGTGCCGATCTCAGTTTCACTCAGAGGAGCAGAGTTCTCTGTTGGTAGTTCTGAAGGTGCCCTTTGAATGGGGAGGCCTTAAAGAACTCTTCCTGTTTAGAAGCATGAGATTGACTCATATTGTTTTAAACATTTAGAGAAGAAAAGAACCATTTGAGGTCAGTTAATTTAACCTGTTATTTTTCAGATGAGAAAATTAAAGCTCAGAGAGGGTAAAAGACTTGCCCCAAATCACACAGCTATCAATGGGGGAGCAATAAACACAACACAAATCTCTTAACAATCAGGTCAGTGAGCTTTCACTGTTTTTGAATTACTTTGTTCCTAAGTTCTAGAATTTTTAGATGAATTTCTCCCCCTTGTTTTGTGTGTCACTGGATTATGTGAGGTCTGATGAAATTATTAAAGAGAAATTATCAAACTAGGAATGTCTTTTTAAGTTTCTGTACCAGATTTCACATGTTTTGCAAATACTGTTAACCAAAAATGTACTTGTTTTCTCACAAAAGAACTCATATATTTCAGGTAGATTTTTATATCCTGAATTAATGAGCAAGTTAAGAAACATAATGTTGACCATCCAGTACATTCCAGTTTC